ACACATAAAACTGAACCATTCAACCGAAAGTCCTAGTTACAACCTTCTTTATTATTGTACTTAAAGAAATTAGTTAATATTAATAATAACACAAATATGTAGTATACATAATACAATAGTTATTTATAGATAGAAAAACAAACAAAATATATCCGTAAGCGGTTGCGAAGTGAGTTAATCGAATATTTAACATTAATGCATATCTTATACTTTAATTAGGAATAATAGTTTCAAAGATAACCATAATATATATATATATATATATATATATATATATATATATATATATATATATATATATATATATATATTCGAAAAATAATATTTTTCATAAGGGAACTGATTTGTATACAACACATTTTTTTCCGTACACAACAATTTGTGCTTTCAAGTGTTGTATTGTACAACTCTATAATGCATAAATTGTTATGTATGACAAAAAATTATTGTGTACTAATCATTTCCCTTTTCATAATAATTTCTTTACCAAAGTTAATTTTTGAGCAGACACAACCCCTTCACCTCCACTATTTTGGTTGAATGGAAATCAAACTATTTGTACTTGTAGATACAATCAGATTGAAATCTATTGATGATCTATAAATTTTATTTTACTAAAATATAAGATGACTTTAAAATTACCAACATAAATTATATTACAATTTACATAAACAAAATTTACATAAATTTAAGTAGTAATATATCTACAACTAAAATAATTCAAATAAATGATACTAAAATACATATAACTTTTAAGTATAATAAAATGGAGCCACTGTGATTTTGGTCTCTTTGTTTTCAGTTTAGAAAACTTCTATTTTTGCTTCTAGTTTTTAACTCCGAAATTAGATTAATTGTACTTATAGTCATTATAGTTTTTAATTTAAGAAATTATATTTGTAGTCTATAGTTTTTAATTTTAAAATGAAATAAATTAACTACACATTTGGTCTATATAGTTATAAATTAAAGAAGTTACATTTTTAATCCTTATAATTTTTCATTTTAAAAGTAAATAATTTTTGTATAATTTTTGTCATTTACTTTTTAATTTAGAAATTACATTTTTTTTATCATTTTAGAAAAGAAAGAGTAAATTATAATTTTGGTCCCTAAGGTTTAAATTGTTCTGTAATTTACGACCAAACATGTTTTACAAAAGGTCAAATTATAGTTTTGTTCCATGTGGATTGCATAGTCTTACACTTTGGGTCCTTGTAAGATTTAAGATGGATTATCATTGTTGTTGAAAAAAATTGCACGCTTAATTTTCGAGGCTGCTACAGTCAAACATCCTCTATTAATTTTCTGTAAAATAACATTTTTTATCTCCTCTTTTATCTTTTTCTCATTTCAATTTTTACTATTCCAGTTATATATTATGTGTTTTATTAAATAGGTCCTCATTCCATCTTTGTCTTTTTAATTATCTTATATGTATATATCTCAAACTAGTTTATAACCCGTGGGAACCACGGTTACAAAATTAATTAAACTTTTATAGTAAAAACTCAAAGTTATTAATCAGTTATTTTAAATAAATTATTAATTAAGAGATTTTTTTTAGTTATATAAAATTATAATAATTGATTTAAATAAATATGTGAAATTATATCACTTTATAATTTGTATTAATTTTATTTTAATGTTATTAATTTAATGTAGATAGCGTGAGAAATTTAAAATTTGAAATGAATAATCAATAGGTTGATAAGTGTCAAGTATTAATTAGAAAACATAATAGAGTGACACTTGACAAAAGAAGAATAAAATATGCATTAATTAGGAGATCTAATAAGATGACACATGTCAAAAGAAAAATAAAACTATTTTTTTATTAGAATAGAGATACGTATATAATTTATATTTTGCTCTATGTAGTTTCAGTTTAGGAAATTATATTTTTTTGTACATGTAGGTTTTAAATCTAAAAGGAAATGAATTAATTATAATTTCAGTCATTATAGTTTTTAATTTAAAGGTTACATTTTTGGTCCTTATAGTTGTTAATTAAAAAAAAAATTTATTTCGAGATATAATGAATAATTTGTAGTCTTTGTCCATGTGGTTTTCGCTCATCTGTACCTTAGGTCTACGTTACATTAGTGCTAACCAATCCTACGTGGAATTTAATTTTATTTTTCTTTTTCATTTTTCATTTTTCATTCTTTTAAGTAACTAATGTATGATGATAAAAGTCTCGGGTCCAGCCACCCATCCGTCGTCTAATCCCCAACTCCCTTTATCTCTCTAATCCTGTCGGCCGCTCCATAACGGACCACCTTCTAGCCTAATATCACCTGCCGGCCACCACATTCTTCTCCGGCGAAGAGTTTTGGCGTAAAGTAAGATTTGAAGTCGTCTGATTTACCAGATCGAAGTGAGTGCCGCCTCTTCCTCTGCTTCTTCTTCACGCATCCCTCTCTCTCCTTCTGGGTCTTTTTTGAAGCCATCTGATTTGCTGGATTGAAGTTGGTTCCGATTTGCTGCTTCTAGGGCTCTGATTTGTTGTATTTCTTTCTCCAATTTACTGAATCACGGACCCCTTTGTGTGCGTCTGTACGTATCTGGTGTTCTCATGTTTTTTGCTTCTTTTATTTTTAACGCAAGTAAGGGTTGGTAATGATGGTTATGTATGAACTGATGGTAATCGATTGTAAGGGGTAATGGTGATGGAAAAATTGTGGTAATCCGGGGGGATGGAGATAGAGGCTGTATTTTGGTTCTAGCTTGATAATGGTGGCTGATCGATCGATCAGTGATATCTTTGTTACAAGTTTTATGGAGTGGAAATGGAGAATCGTCGGTGGTTTTGTGGTGGCTGGAAAGGAGGAATAAGGATGGTGTTTGGTTGTATGAGTTTGAAGATGGTGAGGTTGTCAAGTAGTGATAAGATGGTTTTCTAGTGATGAATTGAAGCTGTAATCATGACATCATGTCGTACTTACCCACCACTGACCATTATAGTGGTGGGTATATAGTTGTGGGTGCCACGTCCGTTACCAATCACAAGTAACAATCTCTACAAGCTTGGATACTCACCGTTATATCCGTTTTATTTTTTGATTATTAAAATAAAAAAAATATATATTTTAATTAATTAAATTGTAGAGAGAGGTGGAGAAAAGTAGAGAGAAATAGAGAGAAGCAAGTTTATTGGTTGTGGTGTTCTGTTCTTTCCACCTCCCACCACAGATCAACGAAATAGCTCCACCACTAGCCACCACTAAAACCTTGGGATGATGTTCACATCCGTGGTTAGTGGCGATGTAGACCACGAACCCTCTCGTGATGAGCATACCAGAAGGCCTAAGGGGGAAGGAGGTTCCTCTGAGGATTTTGGTGTTGGGTTTGGATTAATGGGTACGGAGGTTGTGTCAGTTATGGTGGTTCCCGATAAAGAAGGTAGAGGATGACGATGATGGTTGAATAAGATAATGGAGATGTTGGTGTTAAACACTTCAAAGTGGATGATGTTGGATCACTGATGGTAACTCATACAAAAATAAAAAAAGAGAGAAAATAAATATACGAAAGAGGGTGGATGACCTGTTAAATTAATACGTGGCTACCAAACAATAAAAACAAATTAATTATTAATGCCACATCAGCCTTATTACCGGGTAACCGGTTAAATTTGAAGAAAATGAGTTAATTGATAGGTTAAAGATGAGTTTAATGGCTTATTACGCAAAAAAAAAAAAAAAAAAAAAAGTTGAGTGACCAAATCGGATAAACAGTAAAAATTTATAGCGCTACAGTGTCATTTTTTCCGTTTTGTTCCGCATGGTTTGTAATGGTTTGCACTTTAGGTCTCAGTTTTAATATTTTATATGGATGATTATTGTGCAAAAATTACATGTTTGGTTGCTATGCTTGTTACGGCCAAGCCTTCTCGTTTAAGTGTGTCAAAAATAACTATTTTAACCCCACTTTTGTCCTTTTTTTCATTCTAATATTTATTAAATAATTAATTAATTATTATTTTTGTTTATAGATAGGTTCTCTTTTCGTCTTTGTTTTTTAATTCTTTTTCTTGTATATTACGCAGATATATAAATTACTTACACACAAACATTTTGTATTATTTTATTCAATCGAAAATGTAGAATTAATAAACTAATCAGAAAGTGCAGGCCATCACCACTCATTTTAATCAAAGATGAGGATTTTTTTAAATGCGATTGATAAGTTGATTTAACTAAAAACATGTTTTATATACTAATTTTTAATAATTCAACTTAAGTTTGTTAAAATCATGATCGTAGTCGTAGGATTATACGATGTCATATAGGTAAAATATCTTTCTTGGGTTGTATTTTGGTAAGATCATTAAATACATAAGCTATTGGAGAATTTTGTTAAAACACAATTCTCTTTTTGAAGAAACTTACAAGTTTCAAACTCTAGAGTTTGTTAATTAATATTTATTTTATTTTTTTCTCATATTCTATTAATTAAAATTAAAAACGATTGCTTTGTTTCATATATTATAAAGTAGATATATAAAAATATTTAAAATTTATAAAGCGTATTTTCTATTTTTCCAACATATATCAAGTCCTTTAGACGCATGTAAATGAATGTAAAACAATGAGATCAAAGAGAGGCTCCTGCTTAGGCTTTCGATCATTAAATATATAGGCGTTCCTAATATTCAAATACACCAGAAATTAGGTTGTATCAATAATTGCATCTAGAAACATCGAATTGTCGTAGGTGACACATCTGTCGTTCAATGATCGTTGAAACATCGCAGTTCAGTAGGTAACTTTCACCACGTTGATCAAAACTCTAGTGACCTTATATTATCACACATTATGGATGGATGCATGACTTTTAATTTCATCATGATAGTTTCCATTAACCAAATGTGGAAGAATATATACAAGTTAGAGCAACATGTTTCATTTTATAATGTTCAGTTCAGTCGCTAGCTAATCAAAGTTAGCCATTGCCAATCTTCTGCAGGTAACTTTAATAAGCTTTTGCAAAGAAAAATGAGGAGAATGATGGTGGACATTCCAATTCCTCCAAAATGGAAACAATTATGGAATACATGGGATCTCCGAGGGTTCATCATCTTGAGTCTCTCGTTACAGACATTTCTGATTCTCGTTGCTCCTTTGAGAAAACGAACAAAAAGCAATTGGATAATAATGCCATTATGGTCGGCATACTTGCTAGCTGATTGGGCGGCAAACTTTGCTGTTGGGCTCATCTCGAACAGTCAAGGGAACCCTGATGAAAGCCAAGGAAAAAAAGGAGCAAGACTGGCTGTGGAAAACGAAGACCTCCTTGCATTCTGGGCGCCGTTTCTTTTGGTGCATCTTGGTGGTCCTGACACCATTACAGCTTTTGCATTAGAAGACAATGAGTTATGGCTCCGACATCTTCTTGGTCTTGTTTTCCAGTGCATAGCTGCAGTTTATGTGTTTGTTCAGTCACTACCACAAAATCGGCTATGGATTCCCACAATGTTGATGTTCTTGACAGGAATTATCAAATATGCGGAAAGAACACGTTCTCTTTATCTTGCTAGTGCCGATAGATTCAAAAGTTCCATGCTTACAAAAGCTGATCCTGGGCCGAACTATGCAAAACTCATGGAAGAATACTTTTCAAAGAAGAAGGCTAAACTACCAACAAGAATCCAAATGGTTCCAGAGCCAGATCGAGCAGCTAAATCAGCAAACAAGGCTAAAAAAGGGAATTTAACAGCGCTGGAGAAGGTGCAATATGCATATCAGTTCTTTGAAACGTTTAAAGGGCTTGTTGTTGATATGATTTTCAGTCGAAAGGAACGGAATCAGAGTCGGGATTTCTTCCTTAATCGAACTGCCAATGATGCTTTCAAAGTAGTTGAGATTGAGTTAAACTTCATCTATGAGGTTCTCTTCACTAAGCTCCCGGTGGTGTTTGGTTTGACGGGAGCCATCAGCCGGTTTTTTTCATTGGCAACGATTTGTTCAGCAATTGTTTTATTTTTATTCAAAAACAAAACAAATTTTACAAAAGTTGATATCATGATTACTTATGGTTTGCTCTTTGGTGCATTGGTTTTGGATTTCACCGCTCTATTCATGCTCGTGTTTTCAGACTGGACAATCATTACTTTGCAAAAGTCGCCAGATGTTGAGCTTGACAAAAAGTCTCGCAAGACTCGAATCATCAGTAAATTTCTCAAACTCATGACCGAAGGCACTCTTTGGGACACAAAAGATCATGCCCAATCAACAAAAAGTGAATCACAAAGTGGCAAATGGAAGATTAAGTTTTTAAGAAGAAGGTGGTCAAAATCCATTTCAACTTACAACCTTATCTATTACTGCCTCCACCCACGTCCAAGCTTACAAAATTTTGTTTATGAAACCCTGGGGATTAGTGAGTTTATGGATGAGATCAAGTATGTCAAATTCGAAAGCTTCACCGCAAAACTCAAAGATTTCATATTCGAGGAAATAAAAGCAAAATCAGAACTCGCAGATGACTTGGAAACTGCCAAGGAGATAAGTTCAGCACGTGGCGATTGGGTGATCCGTGTGGAAGAAGGTTGGGGTGCCTTACTTAGATATGTTATAGATGTTGACTATGATCAAAGTCTCATTCTTTGGCACATCGCCACCGAGTTATGCTACAACAAAGAACTTAAAACGGGAACCAAAGATGACAAAAATGATAATCTTCGCGATATTGCAAAAGTATTATCAGATTACATGTTGTATCTTCTTATCATGCAACCAAGTATGATGTCAGCAGTAGCAGGTATTGGACAAATACGTTTCAGAGATACTTGTGCCGAGGCCGAAAGGCTTTTCGAAAGTGGAAAAGGTGGTGAAGTAAAAGTTGAGCAACACCAAACTCAAACACCTACGGATACTAAATTTGATCGGGATCAGATAAACGCTTGCATGAAGATTCTTGAAGTAACGACGGAAGTGCGTCCAGTCACGGTAAAGGGTGACCGAAGCAAATCTTTGCTATTTGATAGTTGCATTTTGGCCAAAGAGTTGATGGAGATAGAGGCGAAGGACCCGGATAAGAATAATAAATGGTTGATTATAAGCAAGGTATGGGTGGAGTTGTTGTGTTATGGTGCAAGTCATTCACGAGCCAATACTCAAGCAGCACAAGTCAGTAAAGGTGGTGAGCTCATTACCATTGTTTGGTTGTTGATGGCTCATTTTGGTTTGGGTGATCAATTCCAAATTGATGAAGGCCAAGCAAGAGCAAAACTTATTGTTGGCAAGTAGTTTTGAGTCCTATCTGGATGTCTTATTAATGTGTGGATGGTCTAAAAATAACACAAGCAAATACATCTTGTGATTCTCTTTCAATTCTAACCATTTGATTTACAATTTCCAATACACTTAGGAAGTCTTTAGATGACAGACAAAGCTTTGTGTCAATGAAAAAACTTATAATAGATCGAGTCTTGTATATATCTTTGTTATCATATGTACTTAATCAAGGTGTTTAATTAGTTCATGAGGTTACACACCTATTGAGATATCTACACACTTGTAACATGTTTTTGTTTGAAATAATCACTACAAGATTAAAGACCTATGGGGACAACAAAAGTCGTCACCATAGGGTGCAAAGTCGTCACTATAGACCCTGGAGATGACATGTCGTCGCCATAGGCTTTGTCGCCATTGTTCTGTCGCTTTAGATCCTATTGTCGTCGCCATAGCCTTCGTCGCCATAGCAACCCCTATAGGGACGACTTGTTGTCGCCGTAGGTGAACCTATAGCAACGACTTCTTGTCGCCATACATATCCCTATAGAGACGATAAGTCGTCCCTATAGGTTCTACACAGATTTTACAGCTTTTAGCCATGCCCCTGTGATTTATTTAATTTCCCAGGATTTTTGTATAGAATAAACTTTTTGTATACAATAAAACAAAATTAGTAAATTTAAATCTAAAACATTTTACATATCTACAATCCAAAGATTTAAAATATCTTACACCATCAGTTTACCAAATACAAATAACATAATTTGAAATTTTTTAGATGTCTCATACAAAACAAACTAAAGTTCATAATCGAAACAATATCTAATGAAATGTTTTGCGGGTTTGCATATTCTTCCTTGAACAAAACTAGTAGGTTTCTTAATTGGTTTAAGGAAAGATCAGGGTACTTGTACCTGTCAAACATAAGCCCAATGTCACAAATCAGAAATGCTAGCTATAAAAAAATATAATCAAACAGTCACAATCACAATCATAGGAATCAAACGAAACACCAACCAAACAAAATATAACCACCCAAGGGTATAACTGTCTAGAACCCACTGAAACAGAGGAAAACTCAAGAAATTAGGAATCAACAAAGAACTCAATAGTGGCATTAGCATATCATAACAGCAATAACATCACACCTTAGTTCTGAAAAAGGCAATGTACTCTAAAGGAAACACCTAAATGCAATGAACTTTGCATCAGAAATTCCAACAAAAGTGATGTCTTTGAAACCTTCAATTCAACTTTAACCTTAGGCTAGCAATGAATCATAAGCAACATAATTTAAACAAAAAAGAAACACATAAACAACACAAACATGAATTGTTGGTAACTTCATTCTAATCTAACAATTTAGCAAATTTAGCAAGTACTAAAAATCTTTCTTTTATAATTCTCTGAAAAGCACCTTCAATTTAGCAATTTCAAATTAAGCAAACTAAAAACTCAAGACCAAACTGATCATACATAAATTTGAATATTAAACTAGTAAAATAACAAAAAAAACAATAAGAAACCTGAATGCTTTAATCTTGAGTTCAGTTCTCGGCCTATGTTCTTGAACCTCTGTGCCCAGTCCTCAGTCCTCATTCATCGCCCCGTCGCCCCTTCCCCTCTGTATGAAAGATCAAAGATAGAAAAAATAATTCTTAAAAACCCTTGTCTTGTCGGTATCAAAGAAATTAAAATCCAAGAAACAATCATAAATTAATTGCACGTTTTATAAACCAAAAAAACTAATGAATCAGAAAAACCTCATAGGTAGCCTCGTAATTCTCCCAGTCTCCTCGTCTTCATAATTAATCATGCAAGGGAATGAGGTCGCCGGAAGCCAAGTAGTACATGGCTGACGGTGGAACTGGTCTTCTTTGAGGTTGTTGACAAGAAGAAAACCTGTGATAGAGAGAGATAGGTTGTTGACGATTTTTCAAACATTCTACTTCTATTTCACAGCTTGTATATACATAAATCAATTGGCATATTTGTATTGCTCTAATTTTTATAGCATTCTACTTTAATTTTAGACAAAAAAAGGACAAAACTAAAATGCTATACAACCACATTAACATGCTTGAAACAATAATTTTCATAAAGTTTGTATCCTAAACATAAATACTATCCTAAACATAACCAAGAACTTATAACTTTTTATGATTAACAAATCATACACAACCAAAAACTTCAGAGCTTCCATGTATATAAATCACTAACCAAAGTTTCATAAGTTTTAAACACATTTAGACAATTATTTGTGAAAAAACACAGCCAAATCACCAGAATAAGATTCTGAGCTTTCACAGCACAAAAACTTCACAACCAAATAATACACAACCAAAAAATTTCATAGCTTCCATGAATTGAAAACAATAACCATAAACTTTCATAAAGTTTTAAGCACATTTAGACAATTGTTTGTGAAAAAACACAGCCAAATAACCAAAAACCGATTATATGCTTTCATAGCACAAAAACGTATTCTAAACTTTCACATACAGCAATCATCGATCAAAAAAAAACTTATAAACATTCACACAGTTCATACCTGTTGACGAAGTGGGGAATGTCGGAAGCAGAAAAGATGGAGACCGTCGGAAAGAGAGGGAGACCGCCAGAATAAGAGGGAGACCACCGCTGTTCTGCAATTCAGAACACTAATTCAATCCAGAGCTGGAGGGAGAATTTCATAGTGAAAGGTTGAAGGAGTAGACGAGGGAAACGGTGGGCAAGAAACGATCGACATTTACCTATACACTTGCAGGTACCGGCGATTTCACCTTTAGCTCACGAGAGAAACTGTTTTGTGGTGCGACTGATTGGGGGAAAAGGGTTTTCAGCGGTTTTAATTTGGCCACACCCTATAGAGACGATAAGTCGTCCCTATAGGTGTCCCCAAAACAACGTCGCACAAAGTTCCGGATATACACACATTAATATATATATATATATATATATATATATATATATATATATATATATATATATATATATTATTTATGTTTGAAACCAAATGTCGTCCCTACAGTTTTTCGGATGCCCGCGAACCAAATTTTTTTTCCCGCTCAACCTATGGAAACGATTTGTCGTCGCTTTAGGGTTCGCAGTCAAACTAAATTTGTCAACTCTATAGTGACGACTTCTCGTCCCTATATGATACTCTATGGCGACGACATTCGTCGTCCCTATAGCTTTTGTCTCTATAGAGTCATATTCTTGTAGTGAATAAAACATAATTCAAAAGAATTTACTGCTTCAGTTTTTCCTTTTTTGTATGCTTTGTTGAAAGTAATAGGATTCGACTTAGAAACTGGTTCAATGTTGAAAATTCTCTTGTCGATCACTTGATTACCTTTATTTTAAATCTCCCGACTAAAGTTGGTACTACCTTGAACAATGCCATTGAAACCTTAGAACCAACCAACTCATTCACATAGGTATGCATTACATGGACTCTATCATCCGGGAGGAGGTGATCGAGATTGTCGAGGGACAGTTGTCGGAGATGTTGGGCCTATCAAGACTATCATGGTTGAGTATTTCGACGAGCGCTATGCACACATTGCTGAGACGGCTGCCGCAGCAGCTTCAGCAGCTGTAACGACGGCAGGAGAGGAGCTGGTCGAGCTTTCCAGTATCGAGACTTGTTATTGGCACATATTCTGATGAGCAGAGGGCTGCAGTTATCTGGGATAAGGGAGATGTTCGATACTCATTACATTCCGCAGGTTGAGCGGGAGAGTCTAGCACATGAGTTTCTAGATTTGAGGCTTCGGGGGTTTTGCTCGAGGTTGGAATGTGAGTCGCGGGGACTCCGGAAAGGAGTAATGATTATGTTCAGTTGGAGTTATGCAGCTGGAAGTAGAATGGTTAATTGATAGGATTGGAATGTCGTTTCTAGGGGAAGGATTGTGCCCTTTTAGTTTTCGAACTCGAAGAAGTGAGCAAGATTGTGACCCCAGGATCAGGTTGTATTCTAACTCGGGGATAGTTGGTCGCCGGGGATTGGCGACAATGGTTTAGCGCTGGTAAGCACAGGTGGGTAGATGTGGCATAAGTATTTTGGAGGTTAATTTCACCTTGGATCTCTTGTATCGGACGGTAAGGATTGATTGTGCGATCTATTGCACTTTCGGGATTGTAGACTATGTCTTGGGAGTGGTTGTAGCCTGGTTTAGGGCAAAGGTTGTTTCAACTACTGCAGTTCAGCTGTGGATGATTGAGCTGGTGAGTGAGTCAGGGTGCGAGGCCCTGAATGATGAGTTCTAGAGTCGAGAGCGGGAGGATTGTGGGAACGCTTTAGGAAGAAGGGTATTATGTGGGAGGTCTATGGACAGGGTCCCACAAGATGGTTATTCATCATTGTCAGGATTCAGTGGTTTTGGTAAGCATTATTGATTGGCGGAGGAAAGCGCCAAAGGAAGTAGCTTATTGTTGAGACACTAGTTGGAGCATCTATTTTTGGGACTTCAAGATTTGGGTGAGGGATCATTCGAGCTTCCGGGACTGTCGGTTTCCCGGGGATAAAGGAAGTGTTCATCTAGTTTTTAGAAGCGTATGCTCATCTGAGGTTGGCTAGTAAAGGAGTGCTATTTGGAAAGAGTTGGTTATCATCGGATCGATCGTTGAGAAGTGGGGAGGATTAGGAATCCTCAAATCTTCATGTATTATGAAGGCTTAGTCGAATCTAAGTGGGGGAGAGTTACCCCGGGATGCAGAGCAGGAGAGGTTTTGAAGCAGAGGATAACTTTCACAACCCGATGGCAGAATGGAGGCCCTAGTGGTTGCTTGGTTTGAGGGTTGTGTTGTTTGGGGGTTCGGCAAAACTCCCCAGCATAAGAACACGTCTTCTGGGTGCTTTATAGCATAAGTTGGGGAACCAGGTTGGAGTTCTAGTCATGAATTGTGTCCAGTCCGAGTATTCGGCCGAGGGTGTGCTCGACTCTGAAGGTTTTGGATTGATAGGTTGAGGGTTTCGATAGCTGCCAGGACTCGGCAGTACATTC